GCTTACAAACTTCTAATTATTGGAACCTTAACGACGATTAATATGATCTCCCCTATCACCCGATGGATAGAAAATTGTTGCATTAGTCATTTACTGCTTCTCTGTCTCACAATTTTGCAATTAGCATGCTGATCTTTTTCGAACTAAAAGTGATATTTGATTGCTGGTAATATTTTGACACCATTTTCCTCCCAATTGCTTCTCATTCAGTTTATCTTTTTATCAAGTTTGTATAGAAGATGCAAATCGAATGCACTCAAGAGTGGGTATACATGTATACATTTACAATATTAAGCGTATCCAAGTTCAATAAACCGATATATCGTGGCAGTATAAAGGAGCAGAATTACTGAATTTACTAGCATTTTAGTGACATTCTCATGCTAAATTGAATTGTCGTTTACTACCTCGCATCGATGAACTTTTTGTTCCTTGCAATATTTTTGTTTCCTGTGACATTCCTTATAGGCCTTGCTCAACGTTTCTCTCCCTTTTGAGAGCATGGGGCAGTAGACGGTAAATGAAAATTACCTAATGCGGCCCCCGCGCATACTGCTCAAACTTCTTTCTTGGAGGGTATTAACGAACCATTTTCCTAGCTGCTTCTCAGATTTACGTTTTGGGACAGTGAGCGAATATTTCTCATATGAAATGCACTACTGCCTCAAGGTCACTGGAGCTGGGTATGTCTTCCCTCAGTGATTTTTCGCCATCCTTTTCCCTAATTAACGACTCTTCAGACTTCGTGATTTTCTGCCCTTTGGACATGGTGTCGCAGCATAAGAAGTCCTTTCATATTTGTTGGGCTTATAAATTCCAAACAACATAGTCGATGTGAAAAATTAACGGTATATTCAAATTGTTATAAGAAATATGCACAAAAAAAGGATGTTGTGCTATATAGATATATTATAGGTAATTTGGATTCGTGAGTTAATTCTAAATCATCCTGTGACCGACACAGCCATAGACAGCGGCTAGTGAACATATTTTATAGCCATGCAATTCTCTTGAACTGCAATATGGATTCAAAGGTTCAAGATTTTTCTCTTTACTGTGAAAGGCGACACTTAATTCGACAAATAACAGTCTCAATTGAGTTCACATGCGAACTCTTGTTTTATTCTACTAATTCTATTGAACTAAGAAAAATAAAATGTAGTTATGGACAAAATTATAAATTAGAATTATAAATAATAAATGATAAAACTTAAGCTCGTCTATTTTTAAGGAAATAGTTTTACATACATGCTTTGATTACAAGCATACAGAAATTAGAATACAGTGATGTTGCATTCACTTCTATGAATTGAGCGAATTTTCCTAAATGTAAAGAATATCTTTGTCAATGAGAGAGTACTAAAAAAATCCAATATTGCAAATGATTGCCTCAAAAAACTATAATAGTTTTCGGACATGATTGATAAACTCAAAGTCAACAAAATTGAAGATTTCTAATGAAATTTTGAATCTGATAAGAATATAGAAACTCCACTATAATGAGGCAGATATTCGATCATTATGATGTAAAATAATTTGAATACTCTTGAAATTTGTTGCTATTTTTCGATTCAACAACATAAATCCCTATGTTTTATTATATTTGAAAAAAATGCAAAATTTTCCGCGGAGGAAAATCTGAATGCGTGGAACTCAGTGCTGTGAAGTAATGCAAGAATTAGTGGAAGAAGGTAATGAAACTGAATTAAAATCATGAACGTGAAGTAAAACTAGACTCGATGTCACTGATTTCCTAAATTCTGGTTGTAAGTTTTTCTTCTTAACGTTTTTCACCTTATAGTGAGGTTTTCTCCAGAATTTTGACTTCACTGAGGATTTAAAACGAAATACTGCGATTTAGCGCGCGAATGTTTGTGAAGGGTAACTATGTACGATGCAATTAAGATATTTACGCCTATGAACAATGTTCAGGAGGATGTAGTTTGGGGAGTGAGCGATGTGGCACTGCTCTTTCTGATCATCGTCGTCGTTCTTGGTAACACGGTCGTCATTCTGGCTGTACTCATCGACCGTAAGCTGAACGCTATTACAACGAACAAATTTATTGCTAGCCTTGCTGTCAGCGATCTGCTCGTTGGTGTTATTGTTATGCCTTTGTCACTGTACTCTAAGGTGAAAATTACTTACCTGAGTTTTTTAAATTTTTTTTTGGTCGATTTTCCTCTTCAAACAGCCTTTAAAGTTCGTCATAGTTCCTGCCAATTGTAGAGGAAAGGTCACTATAGAAGATCTGTCAACATTATAAAAAATTTTTCCGAGCTAGAATTCGAACTTTCTGGTATTTTCTCTGCATTTTTCGCAGTGTTATGATGTCTCGTATATATCTAAGAAAATTGAGCGGTGGGCAAAAACACGACCTCAGACAGGAATCGAAAAGAAGACGCGCTTTCAAATGTGCCCAAAAACACAGAAAATGGCGATACTCAAAAAGCACAAGCATTTTTTCAGAACTTTTTCTCCAACTTATTATGAGCTGATTACTTTGAGCTATACGGAGTTAACTTCGTCTGAATCTACTATAAGGAATAAGCGCAAACAATGGACATTCCCGTCATTTGCGAATATGGGATGAAAATTGAAAGAATAAACGGCCACTGGTACTTCCATTAGTGTTTTTTAAAAGAAGGGAAGGAGGAAAAGTGAAAATCAAAAGATTGATGGAGTTGAACAATTGTGAGCTAGGATATTTCTGACTAGAATAACAGTTTATCTAGTTACATGCATAAAGAAACCATACTGTGGACGGTTCTGTCTATTCTTTGCTCTTTGCCTAACAATATGGAAATCGTATTTAAGTTGCACAATAATACTTGGACACTCGGCTACACATGGTGTCAGTTCCATCTCGTTTCCGGCGTATTTTCATCCACCGCCAGTATCGTTCATTTGGTGGCGATTAGTTTAGACAGGTACGGGACGCACGGTAAATCTATATATTCATGCATGTCCATACGTATGTACATATATATATGTGTATATATATACATATATATATATATATATATATATATTAGCGGTTTGCTTCGATCACGTTGTTGGTACGTTATTTACACATTTTTCTGTAATACCGAGATTACTAAACGGAATAAGACTCTCAAGTAAATCTGATTCTTCCATTTCTTTATAGAGAGAATGTGATGAGATTGTGAAAAATACACTTCCACTATTGCACAGTGTTAGACCTGGAGGCCATGTAGTGCATTTAATTTTTGTTTCACACTAAAGTGATGTATATTATCACTCGGTGTTCAGGTATTTCGCTATAATGTTTCCAACAGAATATCAACGACATAGTATATCGACGTCCACAACACCGTATTTGGTTATGATTTGGGTGATGGCGTTGGCAGTCAGTTCAACGCTTTTCATGGAACGGAAACCACACTCGGAGACTATCTGTTGGATTGACAACCCTCAATATATTGTAAGTTTTTTGTTTCGTCTTCAAATATCGTCGTGGTCATAGAAAAGACATCTAGATATCAACTGTCCTCAAAAGCGAATTTATTATCAAGCTATCCTAAAGTTTATGTTAACATTCAATAGTTTGAATTAGCAGTTAGTTTAGTGACTGGGCAAGGAATTAAATGCTTGAAACCAAAGAATGATTTGATAACTCCAAAGATTTCAGTCAGTAAACTTGAACACATATTAGTGCATTAAGGTATTGTCGTCGCTTCTATCGTTCTTTCTACCTGGTGCCATAGTTGTCTATCTGTACATAAAAATCTTCAACAAGTTGAGAAATCATCAACTCTTCATGTTTGGGCAATCTGTACATAAACAAGCTGACAAACGACAATCATTACCGAGAGTCATCATAGAAGAAGTAAGTTTCAGCTATAATTCTGATTTCCCCTAGAGCAAATCCTAAATGTTATTACTTCGTTCAACAAATGGCAAAATTGACTGCTAATTTTTTCTCTTTTAGTTTTACAAATGCAGGTTTCGTTTTCAGTCAATGACACCTTTAGCTAATTAACGAAAATAACGTCATTTTTACTTATCATGATTCGACCTCCTAACGAAAGCCGACATGTATGTGGTATAAGTGACAGATTAAAAAACATTTTTGACACGTTTTCGAGAATAACTAATTGATTTTAGTTCATGCATTAGAACGAGTGGGCACTGTGGCTGAATTTAACTACACAAGCTTTGCAAGAAATAATTGCAGCTCTTGTTTCTAAAATGGAAAGCACATATCAAAGTTTATTAGTTTGAAAAAATATATTAATCTATGATAAGCTTTTGCTAAGAAGGAAAGCAAGGAGCCCGCTTTCTAATTATGTTATAAGCAGATTCTAATTTTGCAGACCAATGAAATCATTCTTTTTCCGTCAGCATTTGTATTTCGAACAGCAAAGCGAGTGCAATGAACGGATTTTCGTTTAGCTCATTGCAGCTCCACTTATCTACGATTTCTAAGAAAATGAAAGTAATTTCAATTTCTCTAAGAATTTGGTAATCAACCAATTTTACTGAGTGCCATGCTGGGGAAATTTCGACATACTTATGAGGAACCTGAAGGAAGTTTGTTCTACAACTCTGTTAAGCTCTCCAATTAAAATTATTGTTGCTACGGTGAAATTAATGGGAAAAAATGACACACTGTTTGTGATCATTCTGAAGCAAATTTGCTTTGATTAGTAGAGTCTTATCCGAATCGGTTGGGCATAAAACTCACCTAGTTACCTAGGTAAATTGAGTGGTGAGCAAATACACAGCCTCAGGTGGGAATCGAACCAGCGTTCATCCATACGGGGGACGTTTTTGCTCGCCACTCATTACTCTTAGGTATATATGTAACATCATAACACAGCAGTAAAAATACTAGGATTTCGGAGTATTACATCTAACAGTGTCTGTCAGCTCATTTGGATTTGAGAAGAGAAATCGCATGCCCGCCCAAACCTGTTGTAGGTTAGCGGCTGATAGCTAACATAGAGATGTTGAAGAATGGGTGGTGGCGCAAATGTGCCTCGGTGGTGTAGTGGTAATAGCACGCTCTCCGGTATGGATAAAACACAGGTTCGATTCCCTTCTGAGACTGTGTTTTTGCTAACCACTCAGTTCTCTTAGGTGAATGGGTAACATCATAACACTGCGAACAAAAACAGTAAAATTACTAGAATTCCGGAGCATTCTTGCTAGTTTTTGGAAGAATAATGCCATGAACCTCATTTCTCAACATTATCATCGCACTGCATTTATTAATTGTTCGGTGTACAATATAATGTGAAGATAGGCACGACGGACCAACTAACTTTCCTGATTTCTAAGAACTGAAATCAAAACTCTGAGAAAGTAGTCTAGTTCATTGATTTAGATTTGACAATGTTATTAGTTGAATTATACGATAAGTTGTTAGTTACTTATTCATCAAATGCAGTTTGAGAGCTTCAGACATCTCACTAATTTTTGCTGGGAGAACTGTGATCCTGAAAGATTAACAGTGATTCGGTGTTTGGTTGCGGATATGGGCTATTATGTGCTTTCCGCAGTGCTTATTTCGTGTTTGAAGAGCAACAAAAGAGATAGTGCACTTTTCACTACTTAGCCTTTGACACAAGTCTGTAATGCAGCCATTTTCAAAGAGGTGTATTTGGACGTTCAAGTATGGAAAGCAGCTTTCACCAAATTTTACTCATATGACCGTGAATACTCTAAAAAGCATCACTTCAAAACATTAGGCGATCTCCTCTTCTGTGGAACAGGTGACGAAAAGATCATTCATGTTAAGAAAACAACATGATTTGAGCCATGGTTCAAGTTCTATACAGGCGCCTGTTTAGACATACCGGAACTCATCGGTAGCACCGTCGCCAAATGTCGCTCATAAAGGTTATACTGTTTAACGACCCATGCTCATTAATCTTGTAAAAATCTTACTAGTAATGTACTCTTCAGCACATTGAAACTGAATAATTAGTACTCGCTATTGTCAACGAGGTTTGTAAGAAAATTCTTTGGAATTATACTAATTGGAAACATTTTGAGTTAACATATTTACTCATAGGTCCGATCTCGACGTGGATCGCGGCTGTCTCAAAGCGGCTCAGCAAGTGGTAGCCCTACCAGAAGATCCATTGGATCCAAAGAACGATCACCAAGTCAGCCGCATATTCACTGTACTTCGAAACCGCCACAACGGTAAGGACGGATATATTCTACTTTGTCGAGAGTGTCCTTGAAATGAGTAAATAAGTAAATCAACTACGGACAATTGGAACGCAAGGTGCACAATGAGGACAAATATTTCAAATTTTTTCTGAAGGCTTCCGAATACTCACCTGTGCAAACTCCGTCTATTTCTTCCAGTTCCGTATTGTATTTGCAAATAGTGGTGTTTTTTTCGCAAAGCTGATTCTATTATTGGGTTGTCACATAATTTCATCGCACTACCATTCTATTCAAATTTCTTTCATTTAAAATCCGATAATTATTAGAAGACTGTTGGACAATGTCCTAGTAGTTTTGGCCGATTCGGTGTAACATCATCGCTCGCTGTCCTTCCGCTGCGAGCAATAGACAGGACTTTCTCAAGTCGATCATTACCGCAGATGCGTCTCGAACCCAATTACGGGAAAGCATGCGTCACGCGTAATCGCTACCACCCGACAAAGGGCCGTCGGCTCTACCGAGATTGAAATTCCACGCTTGGAAGATTATGCCTTCGTTTTTCTGGGATTAACAGAGCATGCTGTATGAGAACTGCTCGGCAATGAGCAGGCAATCAAAGCTGATGTCTATGGAGCAACTCTGTAAGTTGGTTGCAACAGTATGAGAAAAGCGTTTACAGCAATTCAGTGTCGTCTTTCACCAGAATAACGTTAACTTCAAATTGCAAAGTCGACTCGCCGCATTCTGGAGAGTCTTTTCTGGACTTTGGTGCTATATCCACCAAATTAGCCTTGATATTGTTCTATCGGTATATCATCTCCTCCATATACTGAAGGAGCATCTGCGCGAGAAAAAAAATCCAAAGACTAGAACCAGCTCAAATGTGACCGTACTAACTTCTTTGATCGCCAGCCCTCACTATTTTTGGAAGAACTGCATTCATTTTTTGCCCAGTAAATAGTCATATATCATTGATCATGAGGATTATTATATTGTTTGTAAATTGATTTCTTATAAATAACAATTGAATTAACAAAACTGTCGAAACTAGAAATAAATCACGGGACGACACAATAAATGGTAAAGAAACTTGCTTCCTTTATTTAGAGGGCTTCTGATAATGTTTGTTTCTAGTGCATAGCCGTTCTATCAGAGTCCCTACTGATTGCAATGGGTAATTTAGGAAACAAAAGTTATACAGAATAGTTTTCGCAACCACAGCATTATCAAATATGGCAGCGACATAATTGAAAGTGCTCGGTATACTGTAGCTTTTAATGCAATCCCGTGCTTGTAGGCTTACCAAGTCATTCATTTCCTCGAGCCAGGAAATTTGGTGCCTTAATCAAGGATAAAAGCAGTACCGTGATAAATCCGTAGCCCAAAGTAAGTCATCATATAGGGTGGATATACATGAGTTACCTCTAACGATATATGATGAAATTAAAGGTGTGGTGTCCCACAAGGGGTGCTCAACGCTTATATTTTAGCTCATTTATGTTTTATTCGAATTACTTGAGAGAAAAAACTGTTTGCTTTTTTGCGCATCAGATGATCGCTGCCAGGGTGAAAGATCCTTTGACATCATTGAGCGCGCAAACAAGTCTCTGCCGGGTATTTCCCGTATTTTGCAAATAACAAAAAGGATCCAATGCTTTGGCCTATGTTAATGATCACGAGTGAGACACCGTACGCGCTAGGTTATCGGATATAAGGTGGTTCGTATACGTAATGCGCTCTGACGATAATCGGTTGACCAAGCCATTACTGAATGGATTCCTCGGGGTGTTAAGCCCACCTCATCAAGACCACTGATCTGAAGATCCGGTTTCTTCAAGAAAAACCTGGAAAAAATATGGTGCTTAGGAAGTGTCTGCGGCAATGGGCTCTGCAGTAAGGAGGACAGAGCGGCCTAGTCTTGTATACGATACAGAAAAATGGAATTTACTGGTGCACTCTCGAGTCACTCAGCGATCAACGGAGCGACAGATCCCACTGCATCAGCTAAAAATAACTTTGCGTCTCCCAGAAATAAGACGAATATTTAAAGCTTTTTCGGGACTAGTATACTGTAAAAATGAGTTTGAAGATTTTTGAATCAAATCAAATCAATCTAGAATACGACTAGTTCATCTGGAAAAAGATGAAGCACTTTCTTACTCGCTTTTTGAAGCACTGAAAGAGTGAACATTGAAAGGACAGTGTATCCAATATTCAATCCAAAATTCAACAGAGCAGTCTTGGACAGGTGGTTATAACATTTAGCACTGCTACTAGAAACAGCAGTAAAACAAATAATTCTTGTGGATTTAGTGGACACTTCTTGTATAAACTGCCAAGATTATATATGATAGTTGTTAGAAGACAAGAATGAAGAACTAAGAGCAGAAGTTGAAACTTGATGCGTGTTTGCTAGACTCAAGCGGTGGTTATACCTTTCCGGGTAACACACTATAACCCTCGATCCGTCTTTCTCCAAACTTCGCTTCAATTGTAATCGTTGGCTGTCAATTAGACTAGGGAGTAAATAAAAGCCACTATTGTATTAGTCATTGCCTCGATTCATAAGGAGGTTTTTATCATCTGAAACATAGTATAGGATTCGATTAGATGTGCAATAAACACATGCAACGCACGGATTACCAACCTTGGATTATTGCATAGGTTCAAGCCCAAGAGATCTAGAACAAAAGTGAACATAAAAGTCATTTACTACAATTGATCTTTGTAGTGTTTAAAGTTGAACTTAGTATAGTGGAGAGCCGTGCAAATACAATGGTGTCATCGAGCACTGGCTTTTTATACAAAACGGTTATTACCACTGAAATTCTTTCGTGGTGGCATCCCATCTTACACTAGTTACATTAGTACCAAGTGTAATGTATAAAACACTTATTGTCTTTTTTCATTGCACGCGATTTGATTTCATTTTACTATGAAGGCTCTAACATCATAAAAGCGATTACTGCGTACATTCAATTCGAATTATCGCTCCATGATGTAAGGCATAGCACCAATCAGTCGACAACTAGACGACAGAATAACTTACGAAGCCGTGCTTATGCGAGGATTCAGTATTTTTTCTCACTCATGCAAGATCTATCTAACTGCGAATCCTTGAGTGATGGGTTTATGGTTGACGGGAGCACAAGATTGTTCGAACGCCATATATATGGTAAGGCATCTCTGAGTGCTGCACTACTACGCTGGCTCCAAACTAATGAAAAAGGTTAAAGCTCTTGGCGTTGATCAATCCCTGAGGGATGCGCCATGCATTCGTCTTCATTTTTAGCTTAGTTTGAGGTGATTAAATCATATTTGGTCTTTACAATGACTCGCGGTGGCCTCTCGCTGTACTGAGTGAGTCAGCTTATTCTCCTAGACAAATCTGCGACCATTTCGGTAACGAATTACCAACCCCGAAGGATGGATGGCTTGAGGCATGAGCGCGAGATCGAACCATCGCACTCGTGGGCTGCTGACCGTAAAGAGTAAATAGACCGTCATAGAATCACAATGTGAAGAAATCACTAGATAGTATAAAAGCCAGTAAAAGAAAATATAGCTTTATAGCAGTAATATAAAGTTTAGTTTGCGAATGACACTAACTACGAAGTTACACAATAGTATCACAGTTGTCGTCCATAAACATTTTCTGGAGGTTCACCATTAATTTTCTTTTGCAGAAGCCTGCTTGCTCTTAGTCAATTAAACTTTTCAGTTCATTTTCCTTCAGTGCTCTGATATCATCAAATATGTGTATTGCAGATGGCGAAGTCCGACTATCTGTGCAGAGACCCTTGCCCATGATAGAAATGTAGCAGCTAAAAAGCGAGTGTCCATTGTTCCTGATCCGCCATCGATGGATGTGAGCGTCAATATGTCCTCTTTAGCACAGATGCGTGCAGAGCACGACCAGAACAAGTACG